GGCATTGTCACCCCTCCCTGCCCCCCCGCCAGCCTGGTTGCCGCCAACTGCGCCCCCTGCCAGCCTGGTTGCCCCTCACTAACCCCCTGCCAGCCTGGTCGCCCCACGCAGCCTGCTGCTCAGTCGTTTGGTTGTCCTTCACCCCCCTGCCAGCCTTGTCACCCCACTCTGCCTGTTCGGTCATCTGTCTGGTTGTTTTGGATGTGACGGCCCCTGGCTCTTTATATATAGATGCCATCCATGTTGTTCCTTTTATTGTCAAAAACAAAGGAATTGTTTTTGTCTGGATATACTTGTGTGTTTATCCGTTCACTTGTTGATGGACATTTGAGTTGTGGCTAGTTTGGGTAATTACAAATAAAACTGCTATGAATATTCATGTACAAGACTTCCTGTGGACCTATGCTTTCATTTCTGGATAGTAGGTATTAAGAGACTACCAAAGCGTTGGCCGGTGTGGCTCAGTGGTAGAGTGTCAGTCTGTGCACCGAAGGATTGGGGCACGTGCTCGAGGCAACGAATTGATGTGTGTCTCTCATATTGATGTTTCTTTCTCTCCCTCTCCTGCCTTCCCTCCCAATCTCTCTAAAAATCAATGGAAAAAATATCCTTGGGTGAGGATTTAAAAAAAAAAGACTATCAAATTGTTTTCCAAAGTGGTTGATCATTTAAAATCCCCTCAGCAGTGTCTGAGAGTTCCACTTCCTCCACATTTTCTTCAACACATGCATGGTCATTCTTATAGATGAATAGTGGTATCTCTTTGTGGTTTAAATTTGCATTTCCCTGTGATTAGTGATGTTGAGCATCTTTTCGTGTACCTGTTGGCCATCTGTCTGTCTCCTGTGGAAACATGTCTTCACATCGCCCATTTTTTATTTAGATTGTTTGTTCTTTTGCTGTTGAGTTATATGAGTTCTTTATATGTTCTGGATACTAATTCCTTATCAGATATATGATTTGCAGACATGTTCTCCCATTCAGTAGGTTGCCTTTTCATTTTGTTGATGGTTTCCTTTGTTGTGCAGAAGCTTCTTAGTTTGATGTAGTACCACTTGTTTATTTTTGCTTATTTTCTTTGATACCAACAGGTATCAGATTAAAAAAATCATCGTCAAGATTGATGTCAAAGAGCTTACCACCTAGGGTTTTTTCTTCTAGGAATTTTAATAATTTGAGGTCTTATAATCAAGTCCTTAATCCATTTTCAAGTTAATTTTGTGTATGGCGTAAGGTAGTGGTCCAGTTTTCCCAGTACCATTTACTGAAAAGACTGTCCTTTCTCTGTTGTATATTATTGGCCCCTTTGTCATAAATTAACTGACTATATATGTGTGGGCTTATTTCTGGGCTCTCTATTCTATTTCATTGATCTATGTGTCTGTTTTATGCCAGTACCATACTGTTAAATACATTTTTTTACAGTTTACATTCAGTATTGCATTAGTTCAGAGGTATAGCACAGTGGTCAATTATACACTTCACAGTGTGCTTCCCCATGCTGCTTTGATTACTGTCTTTCACCCATTCTTTATGGATTGTTTGTTTTCTTTTTATTGAGTTTTGAGAGTTCTTTATATGTTTTGGATACACATCCATCCAGATATGTTATTTAGAAATATATATTTTAAAATTTTATTGATTTTTTTTAGAGAGAGATGGAGGGAGAGGGAGAGAGAAACATTGATGTGGGAGCAAAGCATTGAACGGCTGCCTCCTGCACAACCCCTACTGGGGATCAAGCCCACAACCTGGACATGTGCCCTGACCAGGAATTGAACCTTCTGGTGCACCAGACGATGTCCAGTCAACTGAGCCACACTGGCCAGGGGTAGAAATATTTTCTTCCTATCTTTGGATTGTTCTTAACAGTATGTTTTTAAGAGCAGAAATTTTAAATTTTGATAAGGTCTGATTTATCAGTTTTTCCTTTTATGATTTGTATTTTGTCTCCCCCCCCCCCCAAGATCTTTGCGTGGCAAAGTTATGTTAGCTCTTCAGTGCTTTTAAGAATATTTTGTTTTTGTATTTCATACAGATTCTTACTGTTTTTCTTATCAGGAAGAATGGTCAGAAATATTTGGTTCATCATTACCAGTGCAGCAATCAAGAGATCAAGTTCTATCAAATTATGTTTTATAAAATAATTTTTCTGAGGATCAAAATTGTGGTTAGGTTTGGAATATTTTCTGAACAGTCATTTGACTATATTTGTCTTATAATTCATAAAATGTTTAAAATTGTACAGGTTTGTGTTAATGATGATCTGGTTGCAAAGAACTTCGCTTGTTATGTATCACCCATGGAGAATAAAAACCTTGATTCTTTAGAGAAACCAAGATTGAGTATAAAGTCAGCATCCTTTCCCAATAAACTCAATCCAGCACTTAGTCTTTGGCCAATGTTTTTGCAAGGAAAGGATTCTCAAGGAATGGAAAGTGAGTAGCTCCTCACCAATATGTTTTCTTAAACTGTCTTATTTATAGGGATCTTAGTGGTTTTTTTTAAAATCTTTATTGTTGAAAGTATTACATATGTCTCCCTTTTCCCCCCATTGACCCCTTCTTGTTCTCCCCTCCCCCACCTGAATTTTAGTGTTTTGATATAAGTTGTTGTATAGATGTTTCTCTGTACAGAGACAGTGACTTGAACTCTGAATTTAGTATTTTAATTGTATACCTAGTGAGTGTGTTACAAGTTTTGAGGTCCTAAAGCTGCTACAGTTCGTTTTTATGCGCACAGGAACAAACTATTCTCAATTTCTTATTAACGTAGACTTATGTTTTCAGGAGTCTGTCCATGTGTTCATATTTCAGAGATACTACCAAAACAAGGTTTTGTTTGTTGACAGTTTTAGATACTTTTTAAAAGAACTAGTTAATAGCATGAACATATGAGAAAAGTCAGTCATGGACAATGGAAACACTTCACCTGTTTCTACATTCCGTTTTCTTAAGTCCTTCACATAGTTCCCTGCTGAGGAGTAATGTCACCTATAACCTTACTTGTAAAAGCGAGAGCAGAAGTATGTAAAAGAATTCACATTTGTATTTTGGGTTTAATTTCATGCTTTAATCCTGAAATATATTATTTCTGTCAGAGTCACATGGTTTAACTTTTCTGGCGCAGTCTCTCCAGCATTCGCGGCCCAAGCGTGTTGTGAGTGATCCAGGGCCAACAGCTACTATCCTGGGTAAGTTCTACTTGCTTGCTTCATTTCAGAGGCAGCATAAAACAGCCCTCTTAATGGTCTGAAGATAATAAGGGTTGTTTAGAAGGGCTATGGTAATTCTCTCTTTTCTTAATTTAATGGGACCAGTTTGTGATGTCTTGCTGACAAAGATAATTTGCCTTGCAAATTAAGTCGACGCTCAATCCGTACTTACAGGATTTGATTATAATGTAAGGAGCTTAACAGGCACTCGTTCATATAGGACTGATTTATTCCAGCCCAGATATAGATCAGTGATTATTATTTATCTTCAGAGTATACATATGTATATATGATTGATTTTTATTTTAAGTAATAGGATGCATAAAAATAAGAAAGAGACCTTTCTGAGGACAGAAATACCCAGTCTTTAATTTCATATCTTCAAGATATTAAATTAATGGAAATTGTTGGACATGGGTGAAATCTGCCAGCATCTTTGATGCTTGGCTCATTGTAATTCCTGCACAATTTTGCTACTACATTGGGTGTATATAATATTTATATGGATATAATATTTCATATGCATTCATAGTAAACCTCAACTACTCAACTAAGTTAAAGCTTTAGTCAACTAAAATATTCCCTATACTTAAAATTATTTTTAATTAGTTTGGTAATGTTCATCATAGAAAAATGTAGATAATCAAAATTTCCAACACCTGTCATTTTTATACCTACTTATTAACATTTTAGAGTCTTTTTTCCCAAAGTTTTCCAGATGTGAGGGTGTGAATACAATTTTTTATTTTCCAGTAATGGGATCCTACCATATATATCTCTGTGTAGTGTTTTTCACTTAATATATGGCTGAACTTCTTTCTAGGTCAAATGTGTCCAGTATAACATGGGTTTAAGGATATGGGCTCTGACATGAGACTGTCGGAATATCAGTCCCACTGCCTCCTCTGTGACGTGGGGAGGCATTATTTCTGTCGCACTGAATTGGTTAGGAGGGTCATTCATGTACGGAGTTCACATGGCATAGCACCTGTGGCCTGCCCCAGATGCTGATCTGCCTCCTGTAGGGGTCCTGAATGAGAATTCCCGCTAAAAGGAGCCTCTGGTGGGAATGTATTCTTTCCATTTGTGTTTCATTTTCATTGGAACAGGAAAAATACAAGGCATTTACATCGTGTTTAATCATTGCACAGCTTCCCATTATTATTTTAAGTAGCCCCAGATTGCTGGACAGTCATTATTTCCTATTGTTCTGTATTACGTCAGTGTTGGAATCAACTATGCATGTCTTTGAAAAGGAAAAAGTTGATGGTAAACAAAATGTGAGATTTTATTGGATTGTCATGTAAAAACAAAATTATTAGCCCGGCCGGCATGGCTCAGTGGTTGAGCATCGACTTATGAACCAGGAGGTCACAGTTCGATTCCCAGTCAGGGCACGTGCCCAGGTTGTGGGCTTGATTCCAATTGGGGGACATGCAGGAGGCAGCTGATCAATGATTCTCATCATTGATGTTTCTATCTCCCTTTCCCTTCCTCTCTGAAATCAATAAATAAATATTTTTTAAAAATTAAAAATGGAACTGCCCTATGACCTAGTTATTCCACTTCTGGGAATTTATCCAAAAGAAACCCAAAACACTAATTTAAGAGAATATTTGTACTCCTATGTATTGCAGTGTTATTTACAATAACCAAGATATGGAAGCAGCTCAAGTGTCGATCAGTAGGTGAGTGGAAAAAAAGCTGTGGTACATTTACACAATGGAATACTACTCTGCCATAAAAAGGAAGAAACCATTACCCTTTGTGACAGCATGGATGGACCTGGAGAACATTATGCTAAGTGAAATAAACCAGTCAGAGAAAGGTGGCAAGTACCATATGATTTCACTCATATGTGGAATCTAATGAACAAAATGAACAAGCAAAATTGAGACAGATTCATAGAGAGCAGACTAACTGCTTCAGGGTGAAGGGTGCGGGGCTAGGTGGTGGGGGTGGAGGGATTGAGCAAAACAAAAAGAAAAAACTCATGTACATGGACAACAGGGTGATGATTGCTGCGGGAGTGGGTGGAGAGGTGGGGAGGTGGAGGAGGGTAAAGGGAATAAATGGTCATGGAAGGAGACTTGACTTGGGTGGTGAACACAGTGCACGGAGGATATGTTGTGGAATTGTGCACCTGAAACCTGTATAATTTTGTTAACCATAAATAAGTGCAATAAAAAGAAAAAAACCCCACAAAATAGTCGAAGTTTTGTTTTGTTTTTCCACGTGAGTATACAGTTTTTCCCAGTGTACGTTATTTTATATTTGTGGTGATTCATCTCCTATATAGATTTCTAAAAAAAGGACTTCTGGTTTAAAGGATGATTTTATTAGAACACTAGAGGCCCGGTGCACAAATTTCATGCACGAGTGGGGTCCCTCGGCCTGGCTGGCGATTGGGGCCAATCAGGGGGGCCTGCCTGCCAGGGGGAGGGACTGCGGAAGGTTGGCTGGACGCTCCTCCCCCCACGATCAAGGGCAATGGGGGGGCCAGCTGGCTGCGGGGAGGGACTGCGGGAGGTTGGACCCAGCAGCAAGCTAACCCACAGCCAATTCCGCGAGGAATTGGGCTCCCTCCTCCCTCCTGTCTGGGTCTGGGGTGCGGGTGAACCAGATTCGTGGCTGTCAGGGCCCCAGCAGCAAGGTCTGGGTCAGTGTGCATCATAGCTACCGGCCGGTCATCCGGTCATTCTGGTTGTTTGGTCTTAACGGTCACTTAGGCATATCTATCTATCTATCTATCTATCTATTTATCTATCCATCTATCTATCTATCTATCTATCTATCTATCTATCTATCTATCTATATATTTATATTTATATTTCCAGGTGCTTGTGCATAGGTGCCATATCATCCTGGAGTCCCACTGGGAATCAAGGGAGATTGTGCCTATTTTTGCTCACAGCCTCACTAGCAGAGAGTATTCCAGTTCTTTTGAGTTTTTTTCAGTCTGCAAATAAAATGTAGTATCTTAGATTAGTTTCCATTTCTCCTATTATAAGTGCTACCTATGATTTTGTAAAAAGCCATGTACATTTATTGTGGTTAAATATGTATGCTGTTGCAAAAGGTAAGATTTCCTTTTTTATGGCTGAGTAATATTCCATTGTATAAGTGTATTCCATTGTATAAGTGTACCACAGCTTTTTTATCTACTCACCTACTGATGGGCACTTGGGCTGCTTCCAAGATCTTGGCTATTGTAAATAATGCTGCAATGAACATACAGAATATGTTGATACACAATAACACTAAGTAAATGTTGGTTATTAGTATTATTAGTATTATTACTGCACTACTGGTTTATTTTACTTTTTCCTCAAGTACATATGTTAATAGTTTATACTATTAACTATTAGTTCGAATCCCATTCAGGTCACATAACCTAGATTGTGGGTTTGATCCCTAGTCAGGGAGCATATGGGAGGAACTTGATGTTTCTCTTTCCCCCTTCCTTCTTTTCTCTAAAATCAATTAGAAACATCCTCAGGTGAGGATTTTAAAAGAAAAGTACTTCATTTTCTTCTGATCTCTGACTCTGTTGATTATTCTTTTGTAAGTTCTTATTATGTCCTGTTGATTGACTTTTTAGATTTTCTCTTTATCTTGATATTCTGTAGTTTATTTAAAATGTATTTATGAGTGATGTCTCAATATTCATTTATTAACACTTGGAATTTTTCAATGACAGAATTCATGTTTAACCTGAATTTCTGAAAAGTATTAAATTTTAATGTTTGAAAGATTTTTCCCCTACCTCTCTTCCTGAAACTATTAGCCATAAATTAGTGTGTTTTTTTATTATCCTTTTTTAGCTTCTTTTTTGAATTTTTAATTTCTCTGAACTGATTTCTGAGTTTTCTTAATTTAATTCTTTAAATTTTCATTTTTCTCTTTGCTTCTAGTTCAGTATTTACTTCATCTTTTGAGTTTTCAATTTTATGACTATTTCTTACTGCTTAGAATTTTACTGGTTCTTTTTATGTGTGCCTGTCTTTTCATATCCATCTGTTTTGTTTCATGTATACTATTTCTTCTTTTATCTCTTGGATATTTTCAATAGATTTATATAGGAGTCCTTTTCAGACTGCTGTTTTATCGTCATTTCCTTTGGTGTGACGCTCCACCTTCTCGCAGACCTTTGTGAGGTGCTGTGTTGTTTTTTTTTTTATATTTATGATGGCATCGAACTAATTTGTGATTTCAGTGATCTGTGTTATTCAGTAGGAGAAAGGTATACCTCTTCTTTCTTATCCTCACCTGAGGATATTTTTTCCATTGATTTTTAGATAGAGTGGAAGGGATGAGGAGAGGTAAAGAGAAACAACAGTGTGAGAGAGACACATCGATTGGTTGCCTCCTGAATGCACCCTCACCGGGGCTGGGGATCGAGCCTGAAACCCAGGTTTGTGCCCTTGACCAGAATCCAACCTGGGACCTTTCAGTCTGTGGGCTGACACTCTATCCATTGAGCCAAACCGGCCAGGGATATACCTTTTAATTTAATTTGTGTTTCTCTTATTGATACTTAGAGTAAATATTTTCCCAGAATTGCTCAGTAATACTCTAATAAATGATTGCTGGGTTGAATTTCTTTTGTTTTTCTTTTCTTTGAAGTCACATCTTAATTTTTACCCAGCTTAATTATCCATATTATTCACTAAACAAATTTTGTCACTTGTCAAAAGTCAGATTTAGTCCTGGAGGATAAATATATTTGAAAGAATCTTCTTCAGAAATTTGCCACTTTCTGGTTATTCAAATTCAGCTTGTTTTCTAATATGTTTTCTATCCATTATGCTATTAAGAAGTGAAATGCACAATTATGACCTCAAACCATTGCTGAACTGAGTTATAATTGGTGTTCCAGTTGTTGCTATATAACAAACATGATATTTAGTGATGTGAAACAACCATTTGACAATGCTCATGGATTCTGTGGTCAGGAATTCAGTATGGGCACAGGAGGAAGGCTTTAACTGTTTCACAGTGTGTGGGACCTCGGCTGGGAAGACTCGAAGGCTGGTGGTAACTTAATGGTTCGATGCATTTGAAGATTTATTCAGTCCTGTGTCTGGCAGTTGCTGCTGGCTTTTGTCTGGGACTTCAACTTAGGCTGTCAAATGATATACCTATAGTGGCCTTTTCATGTGGTTGCTTGGACTTTCCTCACAACTATGGTGGCTGGGTTTCGGAAGTAAGCATCCAGGAGAGCAAGTTGCAGTACATGACATTTTTGTGACGTAGCTTTAGAAGTGACATAACGCCACTTCCATGTTGTTTACACGCCCACCCAGGCTCATCAGAAAGGAATATAGAGCCCATCTCTCCATGGGAGGAAGAGTCAAAATCACATTTTAAGAAGAGCATGTGTGTTGGGAGACATGTTCTGGCCCTCTTTGGAAAGTAGAGTATGCCAAGTTACGACAGTAAATTATGTTTACTTCTTAGTAAGCCAGTGTAAAGGAGTTTTTAAAGCATTTTCTAATAAGAAGGGTGAAACAAGTAAATTTAATTTTCTCAAGAGATCAACCAAAGGACTTGTATGCATGCATATAAGCATAATCAATGGACACAGACAGTAGGAGGGTGAGGGCATGTGCTGGGGGTGGGAGTGGCCGGGGAGAGGTCAATGGGGGAAAAAGACATATTTAAACAATAAACAATAAATTGTTTAAACTTTAAACAATAAAGAATTTAAATTAAAAAAATTTAGTTCCCTCAAGTAAGATTTAATATAAAACCCTATTCCATAATAATTTTATGCATTAAGATTTTATTATACTTTTAAAATATCCTTTTTGTCATATTTCCTATTTATTAACACCTTTTATCACTATTTTTATTTTTCAGATAAAACTATGAAATGTAAAGTGGATTCGTTGCCTGGTTCACCTAAAAATATATCTGAAAAGAAACAACAGTGCATCTCTTTAAAAGATGTAAATAAGGTTGTGTTTTTAAATGTTCATTAAATATAAATTTCACATAATGTTAATTTTAGAATATTCTTTAAAATCTAGGAACCAAAAATGTTTTCTATTAAAAAATGTTTGGCTATGATAATTTCATTCATGAAGAATTATAGTTTGCATATTTGCTCTATTTCAAAAGAACAAAAACTCCAGCCAGCTCTCACTTTGTTCTTGGCCTAGTGGCCTCTCTACAAAATGGGGTATTTATCCTCATTTTAAAAAATACATTTTTTAATTTATTTCACAGAAGAAGGGAGGGGGAGAGAGAGATAGAAACATCAGTGATGAGAGAGACTCATTGATCACCCTCCTGCACACCCCACACTGGGGAATCAAGCCTGCAACCTGGGCATGTGCCCTGACTGGGAATCAATCTGTGATTTCCTGGTTCAAAGGTTGATGCTCAACCACTGAGCAACACTAGCTGGGCTATCCTCGTTTTTAACAACGGTGTGAAAATCTGGGATTATGGGGTACTATAATAGTTAAATTCAAGAATAATCTGTCCTAGTCCCTTTGGCAATATAGGTGAAAGTTATTACAGGACATTTTAAATACTGAAATGTCAGTTCCTGCTCTGTGGATATTTCAATATAGTGGTTATAGCAATGATATAATCAGTTTTTTGTCTCTATATCTGTGTTGCCTGAAAATTATCTAGGATGGTTGTTTATGAGAATTATTCCCATGGAATTTTCAGTGCATGGGATGATGCCCACCAACTGAGGCACACTGGCCAGGGCCTCATGGAATTTTGATTCATCAAGAATATATATTTTGCTAGCATATATACTCTTTCTGAAAATAATGTGTGTGTTTTTTTAACAGTGTGTTGAATCTTCAGTGTATTGGCCAACAAAAAGAGGCATAACCATATATGCTGATCCAGATATACCAGCAGACAGGTATCATTTGAAAATTTAGTGTAATTAACTAGAGACTTAAGTATAATATTTTCTTATGTAGTGTATTAGATTGATTATAAGAAAGTATTCATTTTCAAAAAAAGACTGGCCTTGGAAATTTTGGTTAAACATATTAATTTAAAGAAAAATGTTATGATAACTGGTTAGCAGCACAATTGACCAAAAACTGGTAGTGGATCTAGAGTCTCCTGTTACCTTGTCAGATAAAGTTGTTTCCATAAAGCAGACTCAATGAAGTTTCCTTGATGTAAAGGATGGACAAATGTGGGCCAGATGGCAATACTGGTTGGTGGAAAGCAAAGGATGGTTTGTTATCTTCTTGAAGATGAGTATCAAAGACTTTTGACTATAACCCTATCCTCACTAACACACGTCAGTGATAATAATGAAGTCATAGAAAGGATATAATATACCACTTCATGGATAGTGTAAGACCTTAAAATAGTATGCTTCCATTTCTCTCCTCCTGGACTTTATGCTAGTGTTGTTATACACTTTATACGTTTGTTACAAATGCTAGACTCTATAGCAGTGATGGCGAACCTTTTGAGCTCGGCGTGTCAGCATTTTGAAAAATCCTAACTTAACTCTGGTGCCGTGTCACATATAGAAATTTTTTGATATTTGCAACCATAGTAAAACAAAGACTTATATTTTTGATATTTATTTTATATATTTAAATGCCATTTAACAAAGAAAAATCAACCAAAAAAATGAGTTCGCGTGTCACCTCTGACACGCGTGTCATAGGTTTGCCATCACTGCTCTATAGTCATTTGTATTGAAAGTATCTTTCAGAGAGATTTAAATAAATAATAAGAAAATAATCTTAAATATTTACCTAAGTAGTTACCATTAATGCTTTTCACTTTTTGTGGAGATCCAGATTTCTATCTGGTATCATTTTCTCTCTACCTGAAGGACTTTCTTTACTATTTATTATATTGTGGGTCTGCTGGTGATGAAATTTTTTTATCTTTTGTATGTCAGAAAAATTATTTTAGCTTATTTTTTTTAATAAATATATTTGCTAGGTATAGAATTCTAGGTTGACAATCCTTTTCCCCCTATTTTTTAAAGATGTTGCCCCACATTCTGGTTCCTCACATTGTTCCCAATGCAAAATATATTGTGATCCTTTTCCTCTGACTGCTTTTAAAATTTTCTCCTTATTACTGGTTTGAGCAATTAAAAAAATATATATATCCTGTAAAAAAATATATATACATATATATCCTATATAATAAAAGGCTAATATGCAAATTGACCAAATGGTGGAATGACTGGTCGCTATGA